GTGATAAGTCTGTGAGCCATGGTGCCAGAGGAGAATCAAATATTCACCTTCTCTATTGTAACTTGTCCTGAGATTTGTCTCTCCCAGCTGGAGACCTATAGAATTACAGCAATTTGCTGAGGCTTCAGCTAGTCTCCTGAAAATTGTCAGCCCTGGTTTATGCTGAATGTAATGAAGACATTCTGCACATGCTCAAAGGCACATTTTCACAATCCTTGTTTTATTTTAATATAGGATAGTACTAATCTTACTGGCTCTGATAGTTCCAGAACTCAGAGATGAATTAAGAGAATTTCCCAGCGACTGAGCTTTTTGGTACACTGTGACTCAAGATCTGGATAGGGCTGTTAATGACAGGACTTCCTCATAGGGACGCCATAAGTCAGAAATGATTTTGTGACACATAAAAATATCTGGTCCCACTCCCCCCAGCCAAATGTTGAAACCACTGGTAGCAGTGTTGATACTTAGCAATCATGGCTGACTGACAGCAGTACATCATCACAGAATGCTGTAGTAGATTCCCCTGCCCAACTCTTAATAGGGAGGCAAATTTGATCTATTTCCCTGTTAAATAAAGACTTACTGCAGCCTCACAAAATGACAGCCCAATAAGGAGGAAAGAAATCCTGGAACAGAAACATATCATCTTCACCAGACAGCTTCTGTCCCTTCACAACTTGAACTAGAAAACAAAATTTGTCTGAGAAATTATTCTACTCGCGCTGAAGACTGACCAGAAAGACACTGTGTATATAATGCGTGCTAAATATGAAAAACGTATTGCCCTGTGACCATCATTGCATGATCAGTGACCAAACGAAAAAGAGAAGAGTTCCTAATGAACCTTTTTAACATTTGTGCAGAGAAGGAAAATTTCAACCGGTGTAGCCTGCGCTGAAAATTTCTGTCTGATGAATTTCCCCCCTTTTAAGTAATAGTTAATGAAACAGGGTTTAAACTTGTGAGATACTATCCTTTTCAAAATCAGATCACCCTCCCCCACCCCCTGTGTACATTTGACACAATGATTTTCTGTTGTTATTTACTGACTAACAAGGTTGAAAGGAGTAATGATATTTAAAAAGTGTAATTTAAAAAGTGCCCCTTTATATATATATATGGGTCAGGGAAATATATATATTTCCATATATATATGGAAATTTGTCCGGGGGGGGGGAGAATGGTGAAAAAAATGTTCTTCCTTCCAATTTTTTTGTCCCCACCTTCTCCCTGAGCCTTCATATTTCTTGCCAGGACACTTGACTATCCAAAAATCTATTGTAGTTTTGGTAATTATTCAGGTTAACTATTATTACCATTCTTCATTGGAGCTGTTGTTTTGTGCTGTCATTCCTCATCTCTAGCAGGCTTTTTGAGGTCGCTGACCTGTCCAAGGAGTGCCTTCCGTTTCCCCCCCCGCCCCCCCAATCCAGCTGAG